TTGTTCCATTTTCAGAAGAAGAATTTGTGTTTTTCTGCATTTAGAGAACTACATGGATCGAGGGACTGATTCAGGGAGAAACCTTTCACTTCCCACCAGAGATATAAAGGTAGGTGTTTGTTCTCTGTTAGTTCAATCCATCTTTAAAAGGCTGGGACCCTAAATTACATTCAATCCAGTTTATTTATATAGCAGCAAATTCACAACATGTCATCTCAAGGCACTTTACAGTTCACCAGATCATCCAGTCAAATTGATTCAAAGTTTTCTATCGAAGGAAAATCAGTTGATTGCATTGACTCATTGACTCAAATACAATCCCTCAAGCTAAGCATGCTTGTAGTGACAGTGGAGAGGAAAAACTCCCTTTTAACAGGAAGAAACCTCCAGCAGAACCAGGCTTAGAGTGAGCGGCCATCTGCTGAGGCCGACTGGGGTTCAAGGAGACAGAAGCAGAGGTACAAAAGGCCGCTGTAGAAGGCAGCCCTGTCCACGAAACACACAGCCAGGCAGACGAGCTCCGAGCAGCTCCCATGCCAGAAGATGAAGAAAGCACATCCAGCCAGTCACAGTCAGAGAAACAGGACTACACTGAAAAACAGGCCAATCTCCAACATTTATAAACAAAGGTGTCACAGCCAAACAGGAACAGACCAGATGAAGCTGCTATGAGAAAAAGCATAGAGAGCATAACGTTAGAGATTGAACTAACAGATTCTGCAGAATGGGAGAATAGAGATAGAATGAAGCAGAATGATGAAAAGGGGTCGCTATGTCCTCCAGAAGTCTAAGCCTATAGCAGCATAACTATAGAGACAGATCAGGGTCTCTCTAAAAGGGCCCAAACCACCAGGAGCGGCTTTGAAAACACGCCAGAGTTTAAATCAGTATTTCAGTTCAGTTTATTTATGCAGAGCTTGATGTTGTCTAAAAATGGTATTCAGGCAGAGGTCAAATAGAAATCTATTAATTTAACTTAAATGAGTCAATAATATAAACAATAAGATTCAGTCCAATTATTAAACTGACTTACAGAGAGAAATTAGTTTCATGCCTGGAGTGTTCCTATTCATGCAGTCCTTTACATTGAGCAAGCATGTGGCCACAGTGGAGAGGAAAATTACTACTGGAGGAATACTTTTAGCAGAACAGCAATAGGTTTAACCGAATGTTTGCGTGAGAGAGTAAAAAAATCAAAAAGACGCTGAAACACTTCAAAAGGGAATAGAATTAGCAACAACTGTCCAGTTAATGGCGCTGTTCAATAAAAATAAAACAGTCTTTCCTTAAAAAGAAATACCAGAGAGAGAACATAAGGTTAAGCATCAAACCCTTCAGTACCATAACATTGGAGGTTCAAGATATTTTATATAAGTCTTTTATGTGAGAAAAACTATAATCTGATGGGAAAATAACACATAAATAACAGAAAATGCTGCCTTTCTAACAGAATACTATATTTACCTTTATCAAAGGTTCCACTGGGATCTTAATGAAGCTTTTATTAAACTTCAACAATCAGAGTTCCCTCAAAAACGTCTGTTTACAACTTCGTTGTTAGTTATCTTTATTGACACTTAGAGTTTCTTAGAAAGTTTGATTAGTTATAAAGATTAATTATCAGAAGCAATTAAATATGTATCATACATAGCTCTGTTTGATAAATCTAGTAGGTAATCTCAAATCTCAAAAAGGTAAATCTAAAGTGTTACCTTTTGAATGTCGTTATTGAAATAAAGCAACTTTTAGTTCATATTCTACTTCAGTGATATTGTTTACATTTGTTTTACATTGTTTACGGTAACCGGAAAAGCTCCTTGCTGAATGAATTAAAAAAATAGAAAAAGAAAAATTAAGAACATATAAAGTTCCTTATATTTTTAGGAAGAAAACTAACTTTAAAGCACATTAATGCACCTGAAAACAAGGTTAATTAAAAACCTAAAAAAACTTTCTGCTTCAGATTATTAAGCAAACTGTATTTAATACTGTCATGTCCAGTTTGTCGTTATCTTGTTTAAACCTTAGTTCACCCTAACATTATGTCTTATATGTTAATATTTATACCAAACTGAACGCCAATCAATCCATGTTTTGTGTTTGTAGTTTCCTGAAGGCGAAGGGTCCAACGTTTCCTTTGCCATTAAGGAGGAGATTCCAGATGATGCTCTGTGGATCAGTGATTCCTCTGCAGCCATCGGTGAGCGTTTTAAACAAAAAAACTCTCACTTTAAATAACATGAAGCTGGCATCTTATAAAGTGGCCATCCTTACTGTTCTGTTTGCAAAGCCTCTGAATACAGACTGAAACCCGCCTGGAAGTTGACGCACATTTATACAGAAATACATTTTTACAAATGTTTTTCCGTTTTCTTAAGTATCTCAGTTTTAAATGAATGTAGAAGCAGTTAGTGGATGCTAAGTATGTGGAAGCAGAGGATTCTTTAGATGTGCATGTAAAACATGATCTAAGCTGCTTAGTATGGCTCTACTTAAGCCATAAAATGCAAACAAGACTTTAGCAAACCTGGACTGTTGAGGCCAATGCAGCACAATATGATACGACTTCCTATATCAGATGATAAGAATGAA